TGGTGTGGAAAAAATATTCTGGCCACTCAGTGTAGATGATGTTTCTTTCTCATCGATGTTTCTATCTCTCTATACCTTTCCCTTCCTATCTCTCTAAAAATCAATTTAAAAATATATTTTTAAAAAGTTAAACACAGAATTACCATATCATCTAGCAATTCTACTCCAGGGAGTATGCTCCAAATAACTGGAAACAGGTGTTAAAGCAGAAACTTGTGCATAAATGTTCACAGCGGCATTTTCCCCAACAGCCAAAAGGTGGAAACAATCCAAATGTGCATCCATGGATGAATGGATAACCGGTGCTATATCCACACAATGGAACAGTATTCAGCCAGAAAACGGAATCAAGTAGAGTACCAATGCATGCTACAGCAGGGCTGGAGCTCACAAACATCCTTATTGCCCTGGCCAGTGTTGTTCAGTGGGTTGAAGTGTTGTCCCATACACCAAAAGGTTGTGGGTTCGATCCCTGGTGGGGGTGCATGCAAGAGACAACTGATCAATGTTTCTCTCTCACATTGATGTTTCTTTCTCCCTCCCTTTCTCCCTCTAAGATTAAAAAAAAAACACTTAAGTGAAAAAAAAACCACCATAAATGGTCACATATTCTATGATTCCATTTATATGAAACTAGAGGCCCAGTGCACAAAATTTGTGCATGGGGGGGTGTTACTCAGCCCGGTCTGTACCCTCTCCAATCTGGGACCCCTTGGGGGATGTCCGACTGGGGAAACTGGGGCTCAGAAGAGGAAATAACTTGCTCAAGGTCACAAGGCATTTTTTTTTTCAGCAACAATAACATGTCTGGGCCAGAAAAGTGATCTCTGGATAGAAGGCTAATGAGTAGAATTCTCACCACCAAGACTTTCTTTTATACACAATCTTTATTCTTTTCATGATGTGGAAATCCAAATGTCCCTGGCCTGCCTCTTTCACCACTAGGCCCCACGCCTGGAGCATGCTTAAGGCTCAAGTCAGTTCCCTTCCTCCTGTGCATTATTGATGCACAAATAATATAGGCATCAGGGGGCAGTCACCAAGGCAACCAGAGCTGCAAGGTTGCCCACGGAGAACTTTGTATCACTGGCCACGATTCCACCTGGCCACAGACAGGGCTTATAAGAGGCTAAGTCGGTGTCTTAACCCAGCGGTTCTCAACCTGTGGGTCGCGACCCCTTTGGCGGTCGAACGACCCTTTCACAGGGGTCGCCTAAGACCATCCTGCATATCAGATATTTACATTACGATTCATAACAGTAGCAACATTACAGTTATGAAGTAGCAACGAAAATAATTTTATGGTTGGGTCACAACATGAGGAACTGTATTTAAAGGGCCAGAAGGTTGAGAACCACTCTCTTAACCCCACCCCTACTCTTAAGAACAAAACAACTACAAGAGAATTGAGAATACAGTTCAATGGATACTTTGAAAGGGCGAAGCCAGGGTCTGTGTGTATTACAGAGAAGGGACACAGAGTCCAGCCTGTGGGAGGAGAGGTAATCAGGGAAGACTTCCAGAGGGAAGTGACAGCAGATGGAAAGAAGAGAAGAGCAGTATGCCTTATAAAGAAGCACGGTAATGGCCCCCGGGGGAGAGGGAACAGAAGGAGCTTCTCAGTCTCAAGAAGCAACATGCAGACGGCAGGTGTGGGCGGATATGGGAGCGAAGACAGGGACCAAACCACAAAGGGCATCCCTCAACTAATATTTACTGAAGGCCCACTATGCACCAAATACTGTGCTAAGCATGTGGATGCAATGGGGAGCCAAACTGGCCCAGCCCTTGCCCTCCTGGAGTTTATCATCTAGTAGGGGAGGCAGAGATATTCATGAACAACAGTTAACACTCCCATGGCAGCCAGTCTCCAGGATGGGCCCCAGAGATGCATCTTCTCCCCCAATATCCTGACACTCATAACTTTATATAGGTTCCTTCCACACTGAAGGGGGCCAAAAAATATTGCAGAGCCAAGCCAGTGTTGCTGAGTGGTTGAGCACAGACCTATGAAACAGGAGGTCACGGCTCGATTCCCAGTCAAGGCACATGCCCCCGCTGTGGGCTCAATCCCTAGTGTGGGGCATGCAGGAGGCAGCCGATCAATGATTCTCTCTCACCATTGATGTTTCTATCTCTCTCCCTCCCCCTTCCACTCTGAAATCAGTTAAAATATATTTTAAAAAATATTGCAGAAATACCACTGTGATTTCTGACACCAGATCATAAAGGCATTACAGCTTTGCTTTGCTCTCTCTTAGATCATCTGCTCTGGGGAAGCCAGCCGCCAGATCATGATGACACTCAGCAGCCCCCTGGGAGGTCCATGTGGAAAGGAACTGAGGCCTCCTGCCAACAGCCAGTGTGAGTTCGCCATCTGTGTGAGCAAGTAATCTCGGGAGGGATCCTCCAGCCACAGGCAAGCCTTCGGATGACACCATGACTGACACCTCATGAGAGACCACAGCCAGAACCACCTAGACAAGTCGTTCCCAAAGTTCCGACCATCAGAAATTGTAAGATAATGAGTATCACTGTTCTAAGCCACTAAGTTTTGGGGTGATTTGTAACACAGCATAGATAATGAATACAAACATTAAGTCCTTTATATAAATCAAACTCTCTTAATCCTTATAACACCCTGATGTGGGTTCTATTCTTATCTCCACTTAATACAGAAGGAAACTAAGGCACCAAGCAGTTAAGTGCCTTGTCCAAAGGCAAATCCAGGAAATGGGAAAATGAGGATTTGTATCTGGGTATCGGAGTCTAGACTTACCATCACTACAGTGTAGCTGTGGTCCCCTGCTTGCCTCTCTCCTCCCCTCCTTCCCTCCCTTCTTTCATTTATTTGCCACAATTTAGCATCTACTATGTGCCAGACACTGTTCTAGGCCCTCAGGGAACAAGACAAAACCCCTGCTTTGCATGGCACCCATATTCCAGAAGAAGAGACAACTAACAAAAAAAGTAAACAATCAAACTAGATGGCTTCAGATGGTGATAAATGCTTTGAAGGAAAAAGCAAGGTAATGGGTCAGGGAAAGCGAGCTGGGGGTACTTCTTCAGACAAGATGACTCTAGTGGTCCCCCTCTCTGAAATGATATTTGAGCAGACCTGACAGGAGGTGGAGGAAGGGGAAGCTGACATACAAAGAAGAAAGAGAAATGTAGTTGAGGCAAAGAGAACAGCAGATGCAAAGGCCCTGAGGCAGAAACCACCCTGATATGCTGAAGGAATTGGAAGGCAGCCAGTGTAGCAGACCGGGTTAAGGGTGATGAAGGCCTGGAGAGGAGGCTAGGGTCAAATCTCCAGGCCTTGTTGGCCACCACAGAAAAGCCTGGCCTTTATACTCAGAGCAGTGGGAAGCTACCTGAAAGTTTAATTACGAAGGGGAGTGGTGTGATCTATCACTTAGATACAGTGATCTATCACTTTTTTCTGCCAATGGCCATTCGGATATTTATAACATCATTCATAGGCCATACAAAATTATCAACCTAAAAATTAGCCTGCTATATTTCCTCAAACAGTTAATTAACTCACCCTTATTGCCTTGGCAGGGCCAGACCAAATGATTCCTCTGGCCTTATACAGCCCTGGGGGCCAGACACTCCCTACCTCTGATAGAGGCGGCACAAGCTGCATTCTGTTTCCTGCCCACCTCCAGTTGTACTCCCATGATTTCCATGTAACGGATAACCCTTTACAAAGTGCTACAAAGTTATAAACATGTCCCTTCTGAGCCTTCCACCCATGCTGGTGGGTACTAGGCCAAACATATCATCTGTCCAAGGTCTGGGAGAGACTTTAGAAGGGCCAGTTATACTCATAAAAAGATGCTTAGAGTCCCCTTAAACACCCAGGAAAGATCCAAAAAAAGATGAATCTCACACCTTCTGTATAGGAAACCATGGCATCTTAAATGTGATTGATTGTGCTAAAATAAGAGGAAGATAAATATCAACCAACTAAAATAATCCTTGAATGGCCGTTATTGAAAGGTTAAAGCTGATGCCGCAGGATGAATAATGAGCTAAACAGGAATTACCATCAAGCCCAGTCTGAGTTCTGATTCCTGAGAAAGTTCCCAGGGTTTGGGGCCCTTCTGGATGTCTTTTCTTTTTCTTCTTCTAAATGTTGAGAACAATCCAGTCATAAGGGTCTAATGCCCAGATCTACACTCATGTTTTACTGTACATCCTTGCAACAAAACCACTCTTCTCAAATTGAGTTAGAAAAAGCACTGCAGATAAAACTCGGAATACAGTCTTGTGTTTTGTTAAGGGAAAAATATAAGATGCAAATGCTACAAGGAAGCCTGCCTGGGTGCTGGCAACTCTTCTATCTTGCCTGGGTGGTGGTTGTCCATGATTTTGTAAAAGTTCACAGAGCAAGACACAACTTTCTCCCAAGGGGAAAAACCACCACATTATCATGCTGGCTTGGTTACCATTTATTGTGCTTTCTCTGTTCCAGGCACTATGCTAGGTAGGCACTTCACACGTTTTTCTCTCAGCTATAATAACCCCACCAGCATCCTATTCCCACTTGAATGCTTAAGAATCTGGGGCTCTTCGCTTGTCACCTCTGACATGCGTGTCATAGGCTCGCCATCACTGCTTTAAGCAATAAAATAAATAAATAAATAAAATAAATAAATAAATTTTTTTTTAAAAAAAGAATCTGGGGCTCAGAGAAGGCAAACCACTTAGCAAAGATCACACAGCAATAAACAGCTGAGGCAGAACTCGGTTCCAAGTTCATCTCATTGTAAACCCTGAAATGTTTGGGGGCTGGCGCCTCCTGTCAGAATGTTAGAACTGGTGGGGATCTCAAAATCTTTTCATTTAACCGATAAGGCTATTTGGAGACTAGCCCAGGATCCCTCCGCCAGCAACGGGAAGACAAAGCCACCTCGCTCTGGACTCCCAATGTCGTGCTCCTCTGGTGGGGCAGGCGCCCTCTTAACTGGGCGAGGATGGGTGAGAGGAGGGTGAACGGGAATAAGAAAGACCGCTTCCCACCCCCACCCCACAAAGACTGGGAGGGAGGGAGGAGGCTGGGCTCTCGTCAAGTTCCAGGCACCTCGCCGCGTGCCCTCCGACCACTAGGAGCACCGTCCCGCCGCCCTACCTGGATGGACGAAGGGCTGCCTCCTGGGCCTGCCGGGCGGGAGCGCACTGGCACTGGCCTCGCTCATGGCTGCGCTCACGCCCCGCCCCCA